ATTAAATATGATCAAATTACATAGAATTGCTTTGCTTTGCATAAAACTTGTTCTTACAAAACATGTTACATGAATGCTTGACAGAAAGTTCTCTCAGAGTTGAATTTAGCATGAGCATATACAAATTGCTAGATTTTTTTTGTTTTGTTTTTGTGTACAGTCAGATGAAATCCTGCAGGTGGTCCTGCATGCAAAAGCAGCGTCCTGAGGCGTTTCATTACCACACATGTATTAAACTCATTTTTCTACTTTCAAAATTAAATCAAAAATTGAGTGAACGCCTGATACACGGATTCTTAATCATTTCACTTTTGATGTAAAAGGCTTTTTACTTCCAAACTTGTTCTTTCAAACAATGTTCACACAATGATGTCACATATACGCAATTATATTATTAAAGCATCCAATAATGATGTGAAAGACGAATGGCTTGCATGTCTAAAGCATATAAAGTGAATAAACTAGTCCTTGTTAGCTCACATTTTTACATAAACAATGAGAAATCATAAAAACTTTAATTCCGCCCCTTAATTCAAGTGTTCGGTTCATGCATGTATATATCAGAGGCTCATTGGTCTTCGGTCCATTCGAACTGAGTCAAACTGTTTCCTCAGTTGGAGATCTAGAGATCTTGTAGATCTGTGCTTCCGTCCAATTTAGTGAACTGATTCAACTAGCTCACCAAAAAGAACTGGTTCAAAAGAATGATTCGTTTGTGAACCAGACATCACTCCAGACTGTTTGTCTGAGGCTCTGGATTACAGGTAAATAATGTTGTAAATAATGTTCAGTTTCTTGCACAGAGCAATCATTTCGCTTCATAAGACCTTAATGTATCATCAGGAGCCACGGGTATTAATTTTGTGTTCCTTGATATGCTGTTTTTATCCTCAAAAACATGCAGCTGCTGACTTGCATTTTATGAATCACCAAGGACCATACTGTTCTAATGAGGAGAAAAACTCACCTACATCTTGGATGGCCTGAGAGTAAGTAAATTAACAACACATTTTCACTTTTGGGTGAAATATCCCTTTAAGGTACACTCTAAAAAATGCTGGGTTATTTCAACCCAACTTTGGGTCAAATATGGACTAACCCAACTTTTGGGTTAAACATTTAATGTAAAAATTTAACCCAACGGTTGGGTTAGTCCATATTTGACCCAAAGTTGGGTTGAAACAACCCAGCATTTTTTAGAGTGTACAGCGCTGTGGTGTATCATACATTCATTTTTTTTTTTTTTTAAAGGCATGCTTTTTTCAGTACCATACAACACACTACAGTACCAATGTCAACTATTATTTGCAGAGGGTTTCCGTCTGCCAAAAACCACGCTGTGGGCATAACCTAACTGGCCAACGGGCAAGCATCCAAGTGCCTGGACAATGTAAGGGAAACATCTCACTGTGTGTGGCTATATGTGAAGTTGCTGTGGCAGGCTGTAGACCAGTTCTTAGATCATACAACTCTATAACATTTCTAAATGAACTTGACCAGGCCTGTCAGGACATATATATATATAT